GGCCCCCCGCCCGCCCCGGAGAGGCAGCTGAACGCCGGGCAGAGCCCCGGGTGGGGGGCCCGCCTCCCGCCGCCGCCTCGCTCGGTGCGGGTTCCGGGGGTGGCGGGGGCCCGCAGCCGGCTCATTTCTCTTTCTTGATGGCATGGTTGTTCTACTGTTGGGTTTTAGAGGGTCAGGTGTTTCCATAACGGGATTTATTTTTCCTTTCATTTCCAGATGTAGAACTTCCTTAAGAGCAGGTTCCATAAGGTGAATTCCTTTCGTTTTTACATGCCTAGAAATAATTTTATTTTTCCTTCAGATCTGATGGAAAGTCTTGCTGGGTATAATACCATTGGTGGAAACTTTTTTAGGTTTGTTGGGTTTTCTTTGATAATTTTGAACACATCATCCCATTTTCTTCTGGCCTTTAAGGTTTCTGCTGAGAGATTCAAGACTAGTCTGATTGAATGTACCTTTTGTAGGTAACTCAGCCTTATCTCTACCGCTTTTCAGGATTTTTCTCTTCAATTTCTGACGTTTTGGCTGTAATATCCCTTGGAGGATGTTGAATCCATTGTTCTACAAATGTACTGGATCTGGATGTTTGTTATCTCTAGCCACCTTAATCATCGTGCCACCTGCGTGCCCAAGAATGAACCATGTCAAGTTTAGATACTCCTTTCTCATTGTGGTCTAACCTGCTGGTGATGTTTCTCACTGATTATTTGATTTCCTGTTTTGTATTCTTCATCTCCAAGTTTTCTGTTGAGTCGGGATGTTTGCTGTTAACCCTCTCTTCCATGTTGGGCATTGTTCTCATCACATGACATTCTTTGTGTTCTTTTGTAGCTCGTTGAATTTTGTTACCATCAATATTCTAAAATCCACTAATGACTTCGCTGTGATTTCCTACATTTTGTCTGCGGTTAGTGTGGAGTTAGTGTGTTCCTTTGGGAGAGAGATGTTTCTTCATTCTTTTTCTCTTTCTTGGATCCTGCATTTATTTATTTATTTATTTATTTATTTATTTATTTATTTTGTCATTAGATGGGGTACTTACTTCTTTCTAATTTCTAGGTTAAGTTTTTAGTGTCAGAGTTTTATTCCATATTTGATTTTTTGTTGACTTGTCTTACTTTCGGTCTTTATTTATTGAAGGCCTTGTATATTTTCAGAGACATCAAGTGGGGCACGTTGGCTTCTGGGCCAACATATTTGGGTTCTAAGTGATAACAATATTGTCCATTCATGTTCTACTTACAGAGGAAGGAGGTTTCCTTTAACGGCTACCAGGCACTGTGGTTCCCTGAGGTTGCAGGCCCCGTGTAAAGCAGGGTCTTCCCGTGTGGGAGGAGGCCAAGTCAAAAAGCAGCTGAAAAGAAACCATGACCTCTGCCTTGGGTGGGCAGCATGCAGGAAGGACGGAGGGATTGGTGAGACGTGGCAGACCGTGGCCTGTGCTGTAGTCAGCTGTGCAAGTTCTATAGACAGAGGTTCTTTCTGCTCAGGAGGCAGATTATCTGCACAGACGTGGCGCCCTCTGCAGGTGGCTCCATGCTGGTGAGTATGGCAGCTGCTGTCCCCGCATACCGGGGCTGGACAGAACCTCGTGTGAAGCTGCAAGGCTGGGCGGGTACCATCACTGTGCACAGGGAGGCAGGGGTGGGACTAGGGGAGCTAGGGGAGCAACTGGAGCCGCTCTGCCCCCTGGGATCCAGGGTCAGGCTGTGGGAACCCTACCCTCCCTCAGCAAGACCAGCCGCAGGGGCCTGTGCATGTCTTTGCAACTGGAGAGCTGAACTGGAGCTGCTGCCCTTTTACAGGGACGTGGGCAGGAGGAAGGGACACTTGGGTCGGCTTATTACAAAGGCTATGTGGATGGTTGAGCAGGCTCCCAGAGGCGCTGATGCCATGGTCCAGGAGAGAGGACGAGGACCGGAAAGGCCGGGGTATGGAGGAAGAAGAGGGATGAGCTGGGTGAGGTTCCAAAGGCAGAAGCAGCAGCACAGGGCCAGGGGAGCTGCTGGGGGAGAAGAGGAGACGCGATGCCTCTGAGAAGCCAGTTCCGGACACCTGCGTTTCCAGAGGGGGACACCCAGACTATGAGGCACCCCACTCCCTTCTCTGTCTGTTCATAGACTCTGTAGCCCCTCCTGGCCTCTGGGAACGTGGGCCCCTGCATGTCTGTGGGTCCTGAAAGCCTCTCGCAGCTCCGAAGGCCTTCACGTTTCAGCTCTGCCCAGGTGGTGTCCCGGTGCGTGGAGCAGGGGCCGAGGTGCCTGCTGGGGATGGCCGGCTCTGCGTCCTCCTGCTGGTTCTCGGTCAGAGCTGCCTGGTTCCTGGGGCGGTTCTCCAGGGCGCCTCTGTCTGTGCCCCTAGTCCGGGTCCTTCCTCTCTGCCCCCCAGGCCCTGAGACCCTTCTTGTGGATGCAGTGTCCACTCGGCCCCAGGGGTCTGCACATCTCTGAGCCCTGCTGCTGGCTCCTCCAGGCAGGATCTCCCCGGGTGGCCCACCACAGCCCCCTGACCTTGGGCCCCTGGACAGGTATCGGAAGCTCTGGGGCTGGGGCCAGGAGTTGAGGAGGACCCTCTTGTCTGACTGGACCTTGCTGCCAGGTGCACCGACATGGCTCGTCCTCCGGGGGGACACTGGGCTGTGGACCCCAAGGTGGCCTGTCCACCCAAGTGACCCTGTGCCCACTGCCCGGGCTGGCCCTGCGCTGGGTGTGTTGCAGAGTGAGAGGAAGCGACCACCCCGTGCCAGCCTTTCTGTCTCCCCTCCCCACCCCGAGGCTTCTCCCCTTTCCAGCTAAGAAAGAACTTGGTTTGACTTAAACGTCCCTAACCGTGTCTGTTGGGCTGCCTACCACGGCCTGGCCTCAGGACTTGGACCTCCGTACACTGGAGCCTCCGTGGCACCACCCTGTGCTCAGGAGGGAGTGGGACACCTTTTGAGCACCCTCCACTGAGGCAGGCTGAGCACACTGTGAGGAGCCCCTGACCCGCCTGCCTGCCCTGGGTCAGGCTCAAACACAGGGCTTGCACGAGAACAGCTGGGGCGGGCAGCTGAGAGTTAGCCAGAGATGGGACAGTCAGAGCAGAGAGAGACAGAGACAGACTGACAGAGATGTTGAGACAGAGAGACAGAGAAAGACTAATTCATAGAGAGACAGTCAGAGACGGAGTGAGCTATTCAGAGACGCAGAGAGACAGAGAGATGCGAGATAGAGAGACAGAACGTGCCCCAGGTGGAGAGCCGAGAAAGGCAGTCTTGACGCCCCAGGAGACGAGGTGCAGAGCTGGGGCTGGGAACGCACCAGGAGGGGCGGAGCCTGAGCGCAGACGGAGCTTGAGCTCACGCACAGCAAGGCCGGGCAGCGCCGGGCACCCACCCTCCTCAGCGAGAGCTGACCGGGCTTCTGCTCAATCTCTAGAAATATCATTTATTCCTCATATATAGTATTACTCATGCAGATTGTTTTTCTACTTTATTTATTTAGGGTTTTTTTAATGGAGAAAAGATAATCGTGTGTATTTATGGGGGAGAAAGTGGCGTGGGTGAATGTTTACGTGTTTCTTCTGCCCTTCAGGGTCCCGCCTGTAGGCCCCGGAGACACCACCTGAGCCCCCGCGGCTGGCTTTCTCAGACTCACACAAATTAAGGCGCCTCGCCCCCTGGTGGCCAGTGACCTGTGGTTTTGTTCTGATTTGAGCACAGGGAGCCCTCTGACCTTGTCAGGGCCACAGAAAACCTGCTGGTCCGAGCTGACTCAGGGACTCCTGACACGTGTGTGTGTGTGTGTGTGTGTGTGTGCACGCGTGAGTGCGCATTCATGTGAGTGCACGTGTGCTCAGGCCTGTGTATGCAGGTATGGGCAGGCGGGTTAGCTCCCCATGGCACCCCGGCACGTGTCCCCTGAGGTGCCCCCTGGCTGGTCCCTGACACACACAGCCCAGTAGGAAACCCTGGCATAAGGCTGGGTCATAGGATGAACAAGTCCAGCCCTGTAAGGAGCACGTGGGCGGGGCGGGCTGTGGGCCGACGTGAACCGGGCCGTCCTGTGAATGCCATCATGTCATACACCTGGGACAGGACAATCTTTCCAAAAGAGGGAGCGAGCGGGGGAGCGAGCCGGGGAGCGAGCAAGGCCAAACACCGACACCTCTCGGTAGCTTGTTTCCCTCTGCTCTGAACGACTGTGACGGCCCAGGACCCGACCCAGGGCTGCCCATGGCAGGGCCGTAACAGATTTCCAGGTGAGCAAAGCACAGCAGGACCCAGAAACTGGGTCAGCTCAAAGCTGCACGAGGGCAGCCCAGGTCAGCCATGGGCCTGCAGGAAGGTGCGTGGGTGGCTGGGCAGGTGACTTTGCAGAGTCTCCGGGACCAGCTGGGTGGCATGGCGGCAGGGGGAGTCTGGAAACTACTGATGTCCCTGGGACTCCGAAAAATGCTAAGTGACTGAACTGGGTCTCTGGAAACTGCCAGGGAACTGTAGCTGGGACTCTACTGATGACTGTTGCTGGGACTCTGGAAACTGCCAGGTAGTTGGGCCTCTAAGCAGCTGTGTGGCCTGCGCCAAGCTCTGCAAAGGACTGGGCACAGCTTCTGGAAGACGCCCAGCAGGGGTGGGAGGGACCCCTGGAGGCTGCAGCTCCCAGAGCTGGATTAGAGCCCTCCAGGCTGCAGCTCCTGTCCCCAGGAGAGCTCGCTGCTGCCTTCCAGTCCAGGATGATCCCAAGGGGAAGCCTCCATGGGGGCTTCGAAGTTTCCCAGGTGACCTCCCGTCACCTCCCGTCACAGGGCCAGCCAGGCCTGGGGTCAGCGTCTGGAGAGGGCTGCGTAAGTGCTGAACTCAGTCGTGGGCTCCCTGGACTGAGGGGACACGGCAAGGGCTGCCCCCTGCGTGAGCACCTTGTGGTCCAGCTGAGCGTAGGTCACTTCCTCGGGGCTCTCTGCAGTGGGGGGCTAAGGGAGAGATGCAGGGTGAGTCAGCTCCTAGGGGTGCCTGGGGCTGTGGGGACGAGGGAGCCACCTCCAAGGGCCCTCGCGATGGCCCTCTGGAATCGCATCGCTGGGCAGTGCCCTCCCACAGGATGTCGGGACGCTCTGCCCCACCAACAGCATGTGGCAGAAGTGATGGCATGTCATTTCCAGGGTGGCCCCGAAGGCGTGGTGGCCTCTGCCCTCTCCTCTCCCAGTTCCCTCTCCCCGGAAGAGGCCAGCTGCCCTGAGGCCCTGCCCACAGCCCTCCTGAAAGTGGGTACCCCTGCCCAGGCAGCCCCGGTGGCCCTGCTCCACCTCTCGATGGCAGCCTCGGGAGAGACCCTGAGCCAGTGCCACCCAGCGAGGCCACTCCTGCGCTCTGAGCCCGACACTGCCAAGTGCTCAACTGCCAAGCTCGGGGCTCTTCATTTGCAGCAGTAGTTAATACAGACTTACCGGGGTGTCCGTCTGTCTGTCCGTCTCAGGGAGTCTGTCGACCGTGGCCACCTCTGGAGGGAGAGGACCAGCAGTCAGTTCTCTGGGTGGACATCAGGACACAAGTTCCCTGGCATCCCCCACAGCTTCAGAGTCCACCCTGCACCCCATGTGGAAGCTTCTAGAATGTCCCGAACATCCTCCCTCCCCAGTTGCTCCTACTCCCGTCTCCAGGCCTGTCCCCCCCTTGCCCTCACCGGGTGTCCTCTCCGGGGCGGGGACGTCAGCAGCTGGGCGGGGCCTGCGGGAGAAGAGCACGTGGGCGTTGGGGCGGCCTGTGGGCAGGGCACCGGGCGGGCCAGGACCCCTCGGGGCTCTCACCTCTGCTGCGGCCTCTGCTCCTCATCCCTGCGGCCGGGCGGCCCTGAGGACAGTCGTGGGATCGAATTAAGGAGGGAGGTCTTTCCAGCACCTCTGACCGCCTGCCTAGGCCACCCCGCCCTCCCTGGCACCTACCACTTTTCTTCTGATGCTTGCGATGGAGGAGGACGAGGCCCAGGAGGAGGAGGCCCAGGAGGAAGACCGCGGAGACCCCGAGGACAGCAGGAAGGTATTCTGGCTTCAGGCCTGCCGTGGCAGGGCGGTGTGGTCAGGGGCGACGGCGCGGGCTCCGGGCAGGGTGCCCTGGCTGAGACCTACTGTGCGGCCCGCGTGCTGCACGTCTGCCATGCGAGGACTTCCGCCTAGCGTCTCTCACGTCCCAGCCCCCGGGGCCACCAGCCATCACTCCCAGCCAGGGCCGTGGAGCTGGGAGGGCGAAGGTCCCCTGTGCCCAGCACACAGCTGGCCACGGCAGGCTGGAGGCTGACCACACCTGCCCCACGAGCCCCACAACAGGCTACACCCCAGGCTCCTGGTCCTCCGCCCAGCACTCACCGCCATGGCCGCTGTCGTGGACAGGCGTCTGCGTGGGTCCTGGCAGGGAGGAGCCCGGGGGTGGGTCAGAGGGTGCAGCTGGAGGAGAAAGCTCCGAGTTCTCCCCCTCTCACCACAGAGGGGCCCGCTTCACCCCACGATTCCCTGACCCGCTCCGTCGGGACAGCCCTGCCCAGCAGGACTCTCCGTGTGGTGGAGATGGCCTCCTTGCACTGCCCGCTGCCGTGGCCGCACGTGGCTATGGGCTCACTGAAACCCACCCAGCGTACACGAGTGAGGAGTCGGGTCCTCGGCCGCACGGGTCGCATCGGAAGGGCTCGGTGGGCACATGTGCTAAGGCCCTCAACCAGGTGGCCCCCGCCCGGCCATCCACCCCAGGCCACGCCT